TAGAACCGTTTTTTCAGAGCCTTGTCTAGTTAAGTTTTTGCTGTCTTCAGGTATGGACACTTTTCATAGCCTCTATAGGCCAGTGTTTAGCTGTTCTCTGTTCTTCAACTCCAGAGTCCTCTATTTGTACATGCTTGCAATTGGATATATCGACACTCTAGATTTGCATGTTCCTTTGCTATTCTCTAGTGTATGCTGTGCTATGCCCTAATGCCTGTGCCAGTGAGAGCATACCTTACAAGCTCACATTCATGCACTTAAGGTGTGTACTGACCCTCCCTGTACTGACCATCTGCTAGCTGGAGAGCACGAACTTGGATCCTCCAGGAGGGATGCTGTACTGTCTGGCCTGAACAGATAGTGAGATAGTCAGTGGGGTGACTTCTGGCAGCATCAAAACAGTTTTTGACTGATGCTGTTACATTTCCAAGGTTTCTCACACTGGTACAGACTTTCAATTTTATTTTGATTTTATATATATTTTCAAGAGGAATCCTTTATTTCAAATACTTCTTTCTAATTTCCTACTTACTGTTTAGTATAACTGGTGATCCTCTTGTTCTTCAGTGTGACCAGTTTTGGGCCAATACCTTGTCAGACAAGTTTGCTTATTTGATTCACACACACAAAAATTCCCATCTTCACACTTGTTATTATCCAGACCATTTTGCCAAGGATGGGCCTTACAAGCCACGAAGCAGTGGCCCTACAGGTTGCTTAGTCCTTCATAGGTTACCAGTGTTCTTAGAGTAGCCTTTCTCTTTGTCCTTATCAGCCTTTGCCTGTTTTGACTTCAGCTGAGCTTTGGCTTTCCAAATTCCTTTCCTAACTCCTCCTTGTAGGCAAAGGCAAAATCTCTCTATACCTTCTGGGTAATCTATCCCTGCTCCCTCTTGTGTTTGGGCTCAGTCAGAGTTCTGTGCTCATTCTGAGTGAGAAGCATGGCAGATGGCTGACACCGATGCCACACTTTTCTTCCTCCACAGTGACTGTCACACTTAATCCACTGCGAGACTGGGATGAAGTGTGTTTTGCTTATTTGAAGCATCAGCATCTAATTTTTATGAATTTACTACTCTATGTCTATAAATTAGTACTGACTGTTAATCTGAACATAACTATACTAAAAATAGCTATACTCATTACATTCCCCAAGTCTCCCAGCTAAGAGAATTTCACTGAATTAATAAACCAAAGTTAGGTGCTTGTTAGAAATGGTATGTTGTTTAAAGGATGTGAACAAATGCAGTTCGAGTCTATGATATGTGCAGTTATTCTGCGGTTTTTGCTTATGTGGTAAATACTTAAGAAATATGACCCTTAATGTACAAATTAAAATAATTTCATTTCATACTTAGTGACTTTCAGTAGATAGGTTGGAGTTCTGTTCTTACATGAACTGATCTGTTGTAATACCAATTTTATTATTTTTCTCCTGGCTAATGTGTAACCTTGTCAAAGCCTTCTGTAGTAGGGGGAGTATTATATAGTGTTGGTGTGACTTCTGGTTTGGGCCCTATCTGCTTTTAATATCAGAAGTCAGCCAATAAGAGTTTGTGAAAAAAGATGCAGATTTTTTGAGACGTTTATTCTGAATGTGGACAACAGTCTGTAGCCCTGAGCTTAAACCTTTAGCACAGAGATCTACAAACTGCTTCTGCATGTATTTATCTAAATTAACCTGAGTACAAAACATGTTTGCTTGCTTGTTTTTAAGACTAAAAATACAAACTCTTATCAAATGGATTAACAGTGGCAATAATCATGCCGGGCCTTATCCCAGAGTTTCCCTTTACCCTGATTTGGAGCTCTGCTGTCCTACTTCTGAGACCCTTCTTAATCTCTGATAAGTGTGCTGGTACCTAATACCAGAATTAAAGCCAAAACAAACAACAATAACAAAGTCATGTTGTGGAAGAGTAACAAATAAATTGAACCATAAGTCACAGACAGGTGTTAAAAACACTCCCTAGCAGGTGAGTCCTGTATATTGGTCTGAATGTCTGTATTTTATCCAAACACTTTGCACTGCTAAATGAATGAGCAGCCTAGGAAAGAATGAATGGAATCCAGGGGTGTACTTATGTCCACTCTGCCCCATCAGGAGTGTGTTCCTTACTGGACAATAGAACTGTATCTTCTGTGACCCATTAAGGTACTGTAGTTTTATTCCCCTGTTATTTATCTGCAAACACTGCAAGCTCTCCTTTAAGATCTTAATAGAAAGTTCTTTTGCACTTGCAGTATTGATCTCAGAATAGCATCTGGAAATTAATTGTTGTATATATAATTGTTGTATCTGGCCTGTGCAGATACTGGCTTTTAAGAAGGGGAACATGTAGTTTCACAGTATCACAGAATGGATAAAGTTGGAAGGGAACATTGAGGGTCATCTGGTGCAACCTCCCTGCTCAAGCAGGGCTGTCCTAAAGCACATTGCACAGTGTTGTGTCCAGACAACACTCTGGACACAGTTCTTGAGTACCTCCAGAAGAGAAACTCCACAACCTCTCTGGGCAGTCTGTTCTAGTGCATGGTCACCCACAGAGTAAGGGGTTCCACCTTCCACATGTTCAGGTGGCACTTCCTGTGTGTCAGTTTCTACCTATTGCCTCTTGTCCTGTTGCTCAACACTACTGAGAAGAGCCTGGATCCTTTCTCTTGACACCCTTCCTGATACTTATATATATTGTTGAGGTCCCCTTTGAGTCGTCTCTTCTCAAGGCTGAACAGGCCCAGTTCCCTCAACCTTTCATCATGAGAGATGCTCCACTCCCCTAATCATCTTTGTTGTCCTCCATTGGACCCTCTCCAGGAGCTCCATGTCTCTCTTGTCCTGAGGAGCCCAGAATTGGACACAGCACTCCAGATGCAGCCTTCTCAGGGCAGAGTAGAGGGTCAGGATCACCTGCCATGACTGCTGGCAGTGCTTTTCCTAGTGCACCTCATGATACCATTGGTGTTCTTGGCCACCAGGACAAACTGCTCGCTCATAGACATCTTGTTGTCCAGCGGGACCACGAGGCCCTTTTCCACAGAGCTGCTTTCCAGCAGGTTGGCCCCCAGGCCATACTGGTGCATGGGGTAATTCTTCCCCAGGTGCAGGACCCTGTACTTCATTGAATTTCAAAAGGTTCCATGCTGCCCATCTCTCCAATTTGTCAATGTCCTTCTGAAGGACAGCCCAGCCCTCTAGGGTATTAGCCACTCCTCCCAGCTTTGTGTCAACAAACTTGCTGAGGAGGCATCTGTCCCTTCATCACTGATGAACAGTTAAACAATACTGGGCCCAGTATAGAACCCTGGGGGACACCACTAGTGACAGGCCTCCAACTAGACGCTATGCTGGTGATTATGACCCTCTTGAATCTGCTGTTCTGTCAGTTCTTAGTCTACCTTGCTGTCTACTCATCCAGTCCACACTGCTTGAGTTTGCCTGTGAGGATACTGTGAAAGACAGTGTCAAAAGCCTTGTTAAAATTCAAGGTAGACAATATCTGCTGCTCTCCACTCATCCATCCAGGTAGTTGTCTCATGGTAGGAGACAGTCAGTTTCAACTCTTTGCTGTCTTTTTTCTCAGCAGCATATATTCTATTTGCCTCATCTGAGCACATGAAGAATAGTAAAATACCTGTAAAATTTGAAGCAGAATAAAAATCTTCTTGCCTGCAAGGAAAAGAGAGGACTAGCAGCATAAAGTTAAAGGGGGTCAAAAAAGGCGTAGAAGCTAAAATATATCATAAAAAAAAAAAGTGCTGTGATGCTACTTGGTACCTTTGAGTGCCAGAAAGTACTCCAATGTATTTTGGCTTTGTGATTGCTTCATAAAAATAATAAAGTAAAAACTCTGCTTGTACAAAAACACCTGTCATACTTTTCCTCCTTCTCCTTTGAATCAGCTGTAATCAATTACTGAATCTTTGCTGGCTAGACCCAGTATGAAAGGTAGTTCTTGTACCAGTTCAGTTTCAAAAGGTTAGCCAATAGTAGTTCCCTTCTAGACCTGTTCTATTTGGAGGAAGAAATTTTTGTTCTAAATAAGGTGGTTTTGCATGCCCTGTGTGGGATACTTGTCCTTGTTGATATGAAATAGCTGGACTACCTACCACCAAATTCTAGTCTGACATTGGGAAGGACCTGGATGTCTGGAAGTAGGATTTCTTTAGGATATTTGAAAAAAACTAATAGAGATTTTTTTGTGTGTGTAACATTTTTCTGTTTGTGGCTGTATGGGCTGTTTTGTTTTGTTGATGACTTTTATATGCTTGCAATTGATAAGCGGTTTCTGGAAGAAAACTAAGAGGGTACTTTTTGTATTCTGGGTACATGATGCTAGCATGTTTCTCCATTTCCCAAACTGTGAAACTTGGTATGCAAGAGAATGAGTTTTTAGCATAAAAATGTCTTTATTTCTACTGTGGTAAAACTTCTACTTTAGAAGACAGCAGTTCTCCTTCAATTTGAACTGAATGAGAACAGTTGTATTAAAATGTAAATAAGGCCCATCTAACCTGCTTGGATGCTTAAAAAAGTTGGTCAGCTGAATCTGTCTTTGCTGTTTTGGAGAGAACTCTAATGATCATGTAAATTTAATTCTTGAACCCTTTGTTGCTTATAGTTTTTTTCACATCCATAAATTGAAAGGTTACTTCTTTTTAGGAGTTATGCAAAGTGATAGACTACAGAGGTTTTCCTTATTGAACTAGGGGAGTTGACAGCTGTGCCTGACCTTGAAGCTGTAGTTAAACTGATGGGTTCTTTTGAGTAGAAAAACGCTATATGTGCACCTTGTAGGGTACAGTGGTGTTCTATAAAGCTGCCACAAGTTACTGTGATAAAGTTTTACCAATATGTGCCAATGGCATGTAGGTTTCTTCGGTATTATGTAGCTAAAGAATTGGAAAACTTATGACATTTTGGACTGTAGATTGTTTGTTTGTTTTTAATTCCAGATCTGAATGAAAACTGAGCTTTGTCCTGTTTATGTTTTCAAATACAGATCCAGATAATAAAAATGGGAACTCCTGGATCAGGACGGAAGAGAACTCCAGTGAAGGACAGGTTTTCTGCAGAAGATGAAGCTCTGAGTAACATTGCCAGAGAGGTTTGCTAATTTCAAAGTGTCTTAAATTCAGAAATAGGGATGAAAGCAATCTCATTATCCAGAAAGTTAAGTTTTTTTAAGCTGTGCATTAAAAAGTGTAATTAGACAAAAGTATGACAATTAATACATCCTAAGAGTATTTTCGATCAAAAAATCACATTTACTGAAATGTCATCACGGTGAGGTAGTAATTGTATGATTAGTGTAACTTTACAGAATCATACTTAAACTTAGCAGATATTTCTATATGCTTAAAGATAAATGAAAAATGCAGTTGCTATCTCAAGTGTAAAACTAAAAAAAATTACACATTTATCCTATTACGGTGCGTAGTATTCCTAAGACCGTAAATACAGTGCGTTAGTGTTGAATGAGTAATAGTCATTATTAAAATATATTTGTAATAGATTCTATTTCAAATGTGACAAGTCATGTTGCTTTCGAAATAAGCCTAATATTACACTATACCAAGAATTTCACCACCTGAAAAACAGATGGCTGCAGATAACCAGTGAAAAGTTTAATTAACAAGAAGTTAATACCAAGTGGAATTTTTTCTCTCCGGATATAGGAAAAAGGGAGCCGGAATTTAGTCTTATAGAGATCTGTTTGGACTAGAGCTTTTTTGGGAGGAAATGCTGTGTTTTGGGAACAAAAGCCTTAGTACTGTTTGTATGCAAGTGGATACAGAACCTTTGAGCTACATTATCTACAAGGCTGCTACAAGGCTGCTCACCCTAGTTGACATAAATGAGTGCAAAATGCAGATTCAAGTTGCCTTTGTAATGTAAACTGTCTATATATGTGCATGTAGGGCAAAACAGGTAGGTGATAAGTCTTTGAAAACAAGGTTTCTTTAGGCATTTTCAAATTTATCCATCATAGACTGTAGGCAAAAGGTAGGCTTTGCCAATAAAAAAATAATTTACCTGGTAACTTTTTTCAGAAAGTGATGTTTCTGAAACATCACTTAGATGATCACTTAGCCATCACTTCTAATGGAAGTCTTGCTCTACGAGCTATGTTCTGGGGAGGACTCTGAATTATTCATGGTCTCACTCACTCATCAAATTCTGTCTCTCGATTTTTGGGGAAAACAGTTAATGAAAAAGAAGGAATAATTCTTTGAGTATTTGCATGGTTCTAGTACTGTAACATCAACTTGACATTTAGCCTAGAAAAAGAGGTCTCCATAGCAAGATGTAATAAATAATATCTTACTTAAAATTACTGTTGGGCTTTGTTCTCTTACATCACTAAACCCATCAATTTAAATCTGAGCATGAATATAAATTAAACAAAAATCAAGGGGGGTTCCCCCTTAGTCCTAAATTAAATGAATCCTGAGACTCACAACTATAAGTGTTATCTCACTAAAATAATGTGAGTTGCATGTCTGTTCCAGAAATTAAAGGTATATTGTCTTCTCTTCTGTCAAAAATGAACAGGAAAAGGAAATTGCTGAAAATCTCATAAAGCTTATTCAGTATTTTAAGGTTAATCTAAATCTGCTGAAGATAACCAAAATTTTTATGCTGATCACGTCTTTTAAAGAGTAGGTATTTCATATAATCTTTATCTGTTTTATGTCTAGTAATAATTCTTAAAACCTAGTTGAATTAAATTGGTCTAAATGTTCCTTCTGATTTCTCATAAGAATTATTTTTTCTCTGGTATTTTTCTGTATTTCGAGCATCACCTTTCATGGCTTGTTAGGTAGAAGAAAATTCAACATATTTCAGAATAAAATGGTTTGTTATCATTACATAGACATTTTCAAAGCTGCGTATAGCACCATTTCTTTTTTGTTGCCATATCCAGGTTTCACTTTAACAGTCTTAATTCAAAATTGTTATCCAGTTTAAAAGTAGTGTGAAAAGTTCTAGGACATCATGAATATTGTGTTAACACAGCATATACTACTGTCAGGTTGCTAATCCCTGGATCAGTATAGGAGAAGCTGACCATCGCATCCCTTGTCAAACAGCAGCTGTTGTCATTGAACTGGTAGCTGTAATTCATAGCATTAGCCACCTTATTCTGAAGAAAACATACTCTAAGGGTACAGGGTGCATTTCTTAATTGATTAACAGGCTTTTCTGCTGTTACATCCTAATTTCTGTCTTTAAATAATACCTGATTTTACTGTGCCATACATGCCTTATCATTTGAGGCTTGAGTAAGTTTTCAGTTAGTATGCTGACATATGGCATGCCAGTTCTCAGTGCATGAATATACAGAGTAGATATACTTTGTTCTGAGGCCATTATCTCAGCAGCATAACTTGCTTATCTTTTTATTGTCAACGGGTGTTTTGTTCCTCAACTTCCTCTTCTGAAATTACCTTTTTAGTAGATGTTACTACAGTAGGACTGAGTCCTATAATCCACATGTTTTCTGTGGAAAGTGTTCTAGGTACCAAGAGAGAGCAAACAGAATATGTGGAAACAAAAGGCAGCACTCAGTATGATCTGCATGGCACAACTGCATAGAAATGCTCTGGGATTAAAAGCAGTTACAAAATGGTACTAGGAATTATCAGAATTTGTAATAGTAGCAAAGAACTGTAATGTTGTGTATGACATTTCAGAGTGGTTTTTCTTCAGAAGCTCAGATTTCAGAGTGTACTAATTTTGTTCTTTGTCACCACTTCTAATTTGACAAAATTGCAATTTCCATGTTCTATGGCATATGTCAAAAAAAACCCTAATATGGTATCTTCCATTTGGTATCAGTAAACATTGCTTTCTAGGAAATATTGTTTAAAGAATTCTTTGGTATTGATCTACTAAATTAATTTCCATATAGTCTCTTTTCTGCACTGGTTGAATCTGATGTGTCATTTTATATGAAAAATATTTAATGGAAGATGAGCACTATCATAGGATCTGAGGGCCTTGGTCAAACTACTTCCTCTTTGATATTTCTTTCATTTTTTCTGTCTTTCCTCTGCATTAGAAAACTTTTTTCTTCTGTTGGCTGTCCCTTCCCCTCTGCTTGTACTTACTTCTGTTATGTAGCGAGCTCTTTCACAACTTTTCCTTGCTGTGGAAGTTTGTATTGAGACAAGCCCTTTTGCAGTGTCTTTGTGCTAAACACAAATATGCTAAAACATCAATTGGAGTGAATTGATGTCTTAGTCCAAGAACTTTTGCATTATTAAGCCTCTTTCTTTGAGACCTACTTTTTATATTGTAGTGTGTGATTCTTCCTGGCATTGAATTCCACTGCTCACTGGAACTGAGGAAGAGTAAAGGCAATGTACATATACAGGGACAGGGATCTATCTATGCATCTTCTTCTGCAGTCTCCCTATTACTCTGTGTCTGAAGTGAGATAAGTTGCAGTTGATCAGTTTGGCAGTCTTACCTTGCTACAATAGACTTTATCATGTTTGTTTCAAAAGCTGTGTGAACAGGTGTAGGTATATTGTCCATGTGTTCCCTGCAAGGACAAGAAAGGGAACTCTGAGTGTAAATACATACAGTTACATTAAGTGGAGTAATGGCACATGTATTCTAATTATAGCAAGATTAATTTGAAGGCAACTGATCTCTTGTAAGAAAAAAGAGGACCTATCTCCTGAAAATATAGAGTTCTTTATACCATCTTCTGATTCTTTCTCTAGCTGATGTAATGGATTCTGAAACTGTTAGCATTCTCAGATTGACAAAGAATAAAGCCACCTGGCATAGAAGACAGTTTCTTATGTCATGTGGAAAATTCTACCCTTCTGAAGTACAGATAAGGATTGTCTAGTGTAACTTCAGGCTCCTGGCAACATTATGTTCTTATTTGTTAATCAAAAAGGATTCCTGCATAACTAGATAAATGAAAACTGAGGTTTGTGTTCTCAAGGTTGTGTTCACAATCTACATTGGATACAGCTGATATGATCTCAAGATCTGTTTTTCCTTTGGATTTGTTGTGGGGGCTTTCTGCTCTTTAAGTTGTTTTGTGTACAGAATATCTTCAGCTCAGTTGTGCATCACTGCTTCACTTGTCTTTGTAATTTACAGACAAGCTGTGTTCATTTGAAATATTTAGCAGTAACCTGTCATCACCAGGCATCTCTTATGATTACCTGAAACTTCTTTCTCCAAGAGTAGCCTTATATGCCAGAACAATGGCTTCAGTCACTTCTGTGTTCTTACGCTGACCGTGGTTCAAGCTCAGATACAATGAAGATAGGGAGAAGAGTCTGACTCTTGTCAGCTCACTGTTCTCAACCTGATAAGCAACAGTTTGAAGGCACAATCAGGATTTACCATTTATAGCCTTTTTTTTTCCCCATGCTTCCATCAGTAACCCTTCCATTCTTCAGGGCTGAGTAATAAGATGACAGAGGACTAGAGCTTGTGGATGACAACTGCAACACCATTCACTTGATTTCCATCTTATAGAACCTTGTCTCTGGTTTTAGTGTTTTGGTTTTTTTTTTTCAGAAACTGTTCTCATGACTATTTTCACTGTGTAGCAGGAGCCTGGAAGCTCCTAGGAGGTGTTTTCTCATGGGAGAGAAAGATTCATTTGGATTTAAAATTCACTCTGTAGTTGCTCAGACTTGGAGTAGAGTGCAGTTGTTCTTACTTTGGTAAAGATGTCATGTTACTGAATTGCCATGGTAGAAAAAGCTAAGAGTTCAATATTTTTAAATGTTGAAGGCTAGATCATGAATTTAAAAAGAGAGTTAACAACATAGTCTTTTTCTTATTGAATCTCAGTATACTTTTTTCTTTGCATGTAGCTTCAGCTTCTCTTAAGAAAACAAGCAAAGCCTCGAAGAATCCCACCCTCATAGATATTGCCTAGCATGATATAGATCATGCTAGATGATTTTTTAATTTGTTTTAATAAGGGATCTTTAGTATTAATTCAACGTTTAGTTTGCTTTTGTTTTAAATAGTGGTTAAGGATATTTTATATGACAGAAGATATTCTAGACATTTTCTAATCTATATATGAATGTGTAAAATAAATGGCAAAAGAATAAGAGACAT